ACCGTTGTGAGTATGTATGTGAATTCTCCATCATATTTATCTTCTTCAACAAAACATTGATATCACCAATCAAGTCAAGAATAAAGTGTCACCTCACATCAATGTGTTTGTTATGAGCATGATGAACTGCATTTGAGGAAAAGAATATCACACTCAGATTATCACAAAACACTCTCAGAGACTCTTGATTAACTCTCATGTCATCCACAAGGCCCTACATCCATATTGCTTCCTTCATCGCCTTCATGACTATCATGTACAAACCAAATATTCGTAGTAGATAAAAAAACAAATAGATCGAAGAAGCGACTCCAACTGATTGGACCTCCTACCAATACGAATAAATAGCTGGTCGTAGACTTGCGTCTACATATTATGAATCAGTAGCTTACTCATAAAGCAATAATAGATGCATATCTTTCAAACACTAAGTTGGAATCAATTGTACCCTTCAAATACCTCAAAATCGTATTCACAACGTGCCAATGACTTCTTCCTGAATCATGCATAAACCTACTCACAATATTAACTGTTTGAGTAGTGCTTGGTCTAGTAGATTGCCCACTAGACTAGCATATGAAACTGATCACATATCTTTTCTTTCATGATCATCTTTAGGATATTGATCTAAAATCAACTGAAAATAAGATTCTAATTTCTTCAATACCCTTTGAATATATGCTCCTTGTGAGAGCCAAATCTTTCCAATTGTCTTGTCCTTGAGAATTTTCATGCCAAAATTCTGCGAGCTTCACCCAACTCTTTCATCACGAAATATTTGGATGTTTGATTCTTCGTCCTATCAACCTCAATCCAGCTGGCAAATGCAATCAACAAGTCATCGACATATAGAAACAAAGAGATGAATTAACCATTGGCTAACTTCTTAAAATATGCACCATGATCGTATGGCTCATCTCCTAACCCATCATGAACTGATCAAACGTTTTATAACACTATCATGATGATTGTTTGACCCCATACAAAGAATTGTCCAATCTATAATTACGCTCCATATCTAAGCGGTTGCAACATATAGATCTTCTCTTGCAATTTAGAGTGTAAGAAGGCAATCTTTACATCAAGCCGCTCTAAAATCAGATTGTATTGTGCTACAATTACTAAATGAATACGGATCGAGGGATGCTTGACCACTGGTGAGAACAACTGGTATAGTCAATCCCTTCCCGTTGTGCAAAGCCTTTTGCCACTAACATTGCATTGTAACACATATCAGCTCCATGAAATCCTTTTTTCTGTACATATACCCATTTGCGCTCAATGACTTTCCTTAGAGAAGAAAGCTTCACCAACTTCTAAGTAGCAGTCTTCCAAAGGGACTCAATTTTTTTTATTCATTCTCCCTCTCCAAAGATCATCATCTGAGCTCTCCATAGCTTCCTTCTAGTGACGAGGCAAATTCAACCTCCATGATTGAAAGTGAAAATAAATTGTGAATCTCAACCAACCTGTTTTTAAGAAATTATGATGCCTAGTCATGCTTTTAATAATAAATTTCCGAGCAAGAACCTCATTCTAAGCACTTTTTTCCAACTCCTCCTGGGTGTTATCAAAAGGTACCTCTTGTAACTGATCAGGTACCTGAGTAGAGTGGAAAAATTCTGTAAAACAAATGAAGTTGCATCAAACTCCAACTTCTACTCATATTTGTGATCCTAGTAGAACACTCCACCTACTTTGAGTCTCGGGCCTTCAACAAGCTTGCCTAGACAAACAAAACATGCATGCTAACGACAATCTTCTTTTGTAGATCATAATCTCTAGCAGGATGTGAAGACCTCATCTCCATTAGAACCTTTTTTTCAATTGCTGCAGAAGTCACACTATTTGTCAAGTGACAAACATAGTTTATGGCCCCACCCTAACAGACTCAATCCAATCCAACATCAAACAACATATACTAAGTTTTCTCCACTAAAACTCAGTTCATCCCACAACTTTTTTCTTACAATGTCTTTCAAATAGTGAAAGTGGTGATCTATCCCATTTTTGTGACACTCTTGAAAAAATGCATCAAATGTATATTGACCCACATTATCGATCTCTTACATCAGTTCTTTTTATCAATCCGAGTCTCAATTCACTTTTTTATAATCATGAAAATCTCTAGCACCTTACGCTTAAAGTTCATAGTATACACACAAACATATTCGGAGTAATCATCGATAAAAGAGACAAAAAAAAATATTCATTCATTGAATGGCGTCATCTTCGTCGGAATCCAAACATTTCTGTGAACATACTCTAAAATATTTGTTGTACTGTGGATGATAATGTTAAAGGATACTTGTGTCACTTTCCAAACACAATGCTTATAGAATCAAAACTTACAAGTGCTTGCTCCTTTAATCAACCCTTGCTTCACCAAAGTCTGAAATTAAGTCTCTCCAGCACAAGCTAGGCACATATGACACAATGTGGCGTCAGAAGAACATTAGCAATAGCCACAGTTTCAATCAATGTACTACCCTAAAGATAGTAAAGATTATGATTGCGTACTCCCTTCATAAAAATCAGTGCTCCATGCATATTCTCAGAAATCTTGCCTCAATAACTACTTGTAGCCCTTGGCCTCTACAACCGCATCTGACAGCAAATTCTTCCCAATATTTGAAACATGTCTGATATTGATCATCTCCCTCATAGCAACATTATGCATTCTAATAAAGGCATTACATACACCAACAATATGCCACACTTTATCGTTGTCAATAGTCACTACTTTCAGAAGCGAATTCAATAGAAGAAGTGTCATGTCTTCATCTCCAATCTCGTCATCCACATTTAACATATTTGCCAAAAAAATTTGTAAAATCATTCAAGTGCTCATTAATTGAAATCTGTAGAGTTGACACTTTAACTGGAGAAGATTCTCCATGCACTTCGTGAGATATTTATTATCCAACATCCTCTGCTATTTTCCTATAAAAATTCACCTACATCCATGGGGAGATGTTATTCCAATATCAACAAGCGGGGGGATTAGAAAAATAGGCTGATGAAGTAGAGTTACAGCTCAAAACACACAAATCCTCTATTATCTTTCATATAAATAAGAGCCTATTATGAATTAATAATATTTCAAATATAAGAAAAATCATATATTTAAATATACTCAAATTAAATTTCACAATATAGAAATATTATATAATTAAATTTCCCCAAATCATATCACATAATATCAATCTTTTTAATATACACACTTATTAATTTGGAACAATTATCTTTTAACATTTTTCATAATATTTTTGAGTTTTCTCATTATTTAAATTTAGTAACATTAATTATTATTTACTTATTTAGAATTTTATTTATATTTTTATTTAAATTACAAAATATTTGATTGAGATAATTATTTTTAAAAATACTCAAAAAAAATTTAGAAATTTAATTTTCAAAAACAAGTTCATTTATTTTTTAAAAAACTATATATAAAAATGTATAAAAACTATTCTTATCAAACATATTTTAAAAAAAATATGAAGCAAATCATCCCAAATTTCAATACAATTTCATGCATCCGTTCAATTATCATTTTTTTTATGATTTCCATTAATTTTTGTGATGAAAAACTGTTTTTAAAAATTGGACAGTAAAATATTATAATTGTTATTAATTTCTTTCAAAAAAATATTTACAATACACACTTTAAATAAAAAACTCTCTACACTAACCACACAACTATCTTTACAAATTTTATAGCCCAAAAATTAAGTATCAAATGAATTGTAGGACGAAAGTGCACGGGCCCTGTGCATCGCGTTCGGACTCCAGACACTATTTTCTCGAATTGTGTACTAAGATTAGAAACACTATATTTCAAGTTTCAACTACGAGTGCAAGCAACTGTTAGAATAACAAAAGAACTTCACTTAAAAAGAAAAACAAGAAAATTGGCACTATTATAAGATATATTCTGCAGGCATACTTGACTTCTGATTCATTTTTACAACCCTTACAGGTAACTAATGCATATGTTATTCAATTTGTTTGTTTCCCTAGTGGCAGTGTACAGGACATTGGAACTTTTCTATAAAAGATGCTCTGCATTGCACCGTGACAAGACCTCCATCTTTATTGATTCTAATAGTCATATTGCCACATTGTTGATTCATTACCATATTTTAACAATCTAATGTAAACCTCAGCTCATTTGTGATCCCATTTTTAAATTGACTTCTTTATTTTAGTTATGTTTTTTTATAAACACTGCTATCGGCCTTTTAGAAATTTACGTACATACCACACAAGCTTATATATTTGCATATCTACACCTAAAGTTTAAACCTATTTATGAAATTGTGTATTTCACTTTTAAAAAGATGGAAATAGTTATGTTTTTGAGGTGATGTTCCTGATTTAAGCATGGAAATATGAATGCTAAAAAGTTCAGATATGCAAATACATAAGAATTGTATGGTGTGCGTGAACATGTCCCTTTTTTCTTTAATGCAATGGGGCTGAAAGCAATCCATCTTGCACGGTTGTTGGCATTGCTTCTAGAGAACTATTATTAAAACTATCTATTTATATTCAAGGAAGTCACCCTAGTTCTAAAAAAAGAATTTTTATGTTTTTCTTTTTGGCCCTGCCCCCACTTGATTTTAGCTTTTTGCACATGGGGTTGTGCTTTAAAGACTTGTGTTAATTCCAACACATACACTGAGAAAAGCTTCTAGAGAAAGAAGCAATAGATGACAAAAATCAATCACCATCAAATATCAGTGTCTTTAGGGGGAAAATCAAATATCAGTGTTGAGTGGAAGATAATTTATTCTCTGAAATGCATAATCAAAATCTTTGATGAGATGGTGACTCGGTGATTTAAGCATTTCCGCTCGCATGGAAGGATCCCACACTCGATACTCACCGACCCCAAAAAAAAATTTAAGAAAAAAAATACAGGATCTGCCATTTCTATTCACCAAGATTGAATTCACTTTCACTTTTCAAAATCAGACTTATATATTTTTTTTTTCAAAATTAATATGTTTTTTTTTTTTACGAATACAATCCTAACAATCCAACAAAATGCAAATATAGAAAAGATCATCACCTCCATGAAAAACTGTTTTAATGAGATGTCATGATCATTTGATGGTTGCATTGGTGATGGAAGACGTGCAAGGCCCAGCAGAAGTCATGAATGGGATCCCTTTGTATGTTGCCACACCCTTGTCATCAGTGTATAGATGCTGATAATCCACCAGAATGCATTTGAAGATGAGTACAGTATTAATTTAAAATAGCCATGATGTAATAGGAAAATGGCCAATAGGTAATTTCAAAAGAAAAATAAAAATTCTGCAAGAAAAAATGAATAGAATTTTTTAATTTCAGAGTTAGGACAAGTCGTTCCAGTTAGTTCATGCAACCAAAGCAGCTCAAAAAGCTGTTGAAAACACATTATCATAGAAAATCAAGCACGTTTCTTATTAGGTGGGACACATTTAGTTGCTTTGCAGATGGCATAATTTGAAAATTGATGATTTTATTTTCCCATGTCTTGAGTATGAAATTAAAATCATCGCTTTTGAGGGATTTAGAGATGTTTTGGATGTAATACTTTAGTGTTATAAACATATACCTGAAATGATGTATTTCACTTTTATAAAGTTAGTAAGAGAGGTACTTTTGATGTGATGTTAAAGATTTGAGTGTTATGCATATAAATAGGAAAATTTAGGCATCGAGTATGTAATTGTATAAGAATTGAGTAGCATGTATGTAAAAGCCCTTATTTTGTAACTTCAAGCAGCCAAAGAAAACATCAAGTCAAAATAAAGAACATGGCATATTATTCTTATTTATTTACAATGCTCTATGGTGTCAAAAGTTGGCCTTTAAAAGAGAAGCTTAAAACTAAGTTAGGTGTTGCCGAGACGAGAATGCTTGGTGAATGAGTGATTTTACACTTAGAGACAAAATGCGAAATGAGTATATCCGTGATATGGTTGGTGTAGCTCCAGTGGCTGACAGAATTAGAGTCATCTTAGATGGTTTGGTCACATTAAATGTCGACCATATAATGATCAGATTGAGTAGTAGATGTTTTAGATTCGACTTACGTTATGAAAGGCAGAGGTAGACCAAGAAAACTTGAGCATATTGTATAAAAACTAATAATTTATTATAATTAAATGAAAATTTGACACTCAGTAAGACTCAATGGAGAAAAATGATTCATGTAGTCGACCCCACTTAGTGGGATAAAGGTTTGTTGTTGTTGTATCAAACACCTAGCCTTTAATGGTTACATTTATACCACTTTACTTATGCATAAAAATGTGTATTTCACTTTTTAAAAGTTAGTGATAGCAATATTCTTATGTGATATCAAAGATTTTAGTACTATAAATATAACAATCAAAGCTCAGGAGGTAGATATGTAAATTCATGAGAATAGAGTGGTATGTATGTAAATGCCCCTAAAATAAAATGCAAAGGTGTGTTATTGGTAAGGTATCAATCTAACAGAAGTGTTTGATAGCCAATAAAAAATGTGTGAATCAGCTAGAGCTCAATAGATTCATGAAATTTAAAAGACAGGTTTTTAGGATCGAATCCAGCCACATTAAATTTATGTTTTGATAGTTAATATTCCCCAATAAAATAATAACAAAATAGCATACAATGATAGCTAATGAAATAAAAATATTATTGCCACCAGAAGAAAAATTCTAACCAAAAGATGTGTGCAATATAAACGGGATAGAATCAAGGTAGCACGAGGAAAGATTTTACATACCGGTGTAATCTTTTCTAATTGTTTCTTCTTAGGGTTTAGAACATCTTCTGGTTTCCCCTCGAACCTATCAAAAGAAAAGCCATATAAATCAAAACGCACGGACGATGAAAGATCGCAAAGCATGCACAGACGGGAAGTTTATCACAAAGCTTTATGTTCGAACATAACAAGCCAAACAAAAATAACTCTATGGTATACCCACAAGACCATTCTGATTTGGGCCATTTACATACATACCACCCAACTCTTATGTATTTACATATCTAACACCTAACCTTTGGTTTTTACATTTATAGCATCCAAATCTTTCATATCACATAAAACAATACCACTTTTAACTTTTAAAAAGTAAAACACACTTTTCATGCATAGGTATGGCGGCATATATGTAAAAGTTGGAGTTTAGGTGCTAAATTTGTAAGTACATATTAATTGAGTGGTATATATGTTAATCTTTCTTTAATTTTGTCTGCAATTTATGTACCTGGCTAACAGATCCAAAAATATAAAATTTCTCGGTCTCACACCTCTAAGGAGTCAATTCAATCACTACAATACTATCATTGGCAGTGAAGTTCGTAGAAGAATCCCACTTCCAAACTGCAGCATAATATCAAGTAAACATAATACCTTAGCGTGGGAGAAGAAGGCCAAGTTCTGAAGAAAAAAATTGGTAGACTACCATTTATATCAAATAAAGCGAGAGAAGTAATGGAATACGAAGAAAGGTGGAGGAAATCGTATTCTCTGAGTTCTCAATTATCAAATTACAACTATTTTCCTTATATAATAAGGAACGACTAGGAATAACTTAATTAGAACCATAGCAACTTACTAAATATAAACTAACTCAAAAATGAAAGAATAACAAAAAGAGAATAACACTAAAATAGGAAACTCAGAATTCCACAAAAAAAAATCCAAATTATATCAAAGAAAGAACCTTTAATACGATTAAAAATTTAGCCATCTTCAAAATGGTCAAATTCACAAAAACAAAGCTGAAGCACGGCTCTCTCTAAGGCAGACAGGGCTCCTTTGACGCACATGATAGCGGATAATGGTGAAAAGAGAAAGTATAGGTACATTTACAGCAGAGAAAGAAATATTAAGGCTGTACATTGTGCTGGAAAGCAATGCTAAATGGTTAAATCATGTATTTACCCTGGAAATGAAACACGTTCCCCAATTTTGGCACCTTCTGGGGGAATTATGGGCTCCACTGCTGAATTTTCCTGATTTGAAGCACAAAGCACCTGCAAAAGCATATTATTATGTTTATAGAAACTTCCAACTTTAGTTAACACCACGAGCTTTACTTGGACAACGTTATTAACAAGGAAGATTTACATACATGCCACCCAATTCTTATGTACTTACATATCTGACACACTTCAATCTTTACAGACATGTCACCCTGCTTATAAATGAAAAGGTGTACTTCCCTTTTTAAAAGTTCAAATAGTGATACTTTCGATGTGATATGAATGATTTGGGTGGTAAAATTGTAAAAAATGAAGCTTGTGTTAGATATGTAAATATATAAGAATTGGGTGTTTGTTTGACTGTAAATGGCCCAAATAACAAATAACGTGTAACAGCAACTGTCACTTTTGAGGGTTTGCAGCTCCAATACGAAAAGGAAGAAGGAAGATGACAGAAAATACTGCTACCTTGGTTTTAACATTAAACAAGAGGACGAGTTAGCAAGAAAAAAAAAAGGTACCGAAGTATGCTTTCCTGAAACGAACAAACATGCAAATAAGGAGGGGAACGCTTCTGGACAGGCAAAACGGAGGCAGAACAGTAAAATTAGCGCAAAACCCCAGAGTTTCTGGAGTAAACGGGAAGATGAATAATTAAATTATAGCAGAAAACCCCTGAATTTCTGTTGTAAATAGCAAAAATGAATAAAGAGGCAAAAGGGAAAGATGAGCAAATTAGAGGACAAGGAAGAAGCTGGAAGAAGATAACAGACAGGTTGAAAGAACAGAAAGAGAAAAGGAATTCAATATTCAATTCAACGTTCAAAATTTTGTGCAGCATACTTGAACTGGTTATTGGGTTTTTTGCCCACAAGGTCTAGAGTTCAAAAACTAGGGACATATGGGTGTGCATGACTTGAAAAAAAATAATCCAAGATCATTCTCTCCAATAAAATATTAAAAGGTTAGAAACCCTTATATATTGGTTCAAGGTTCATAAAATTTGCCTAAACTACTTAACGAATACATGAAAAATATTTAGCATAATTACTGCACATCGAAACACAATTAACACAATTAAAGACGGGCATATCTATCTAAACTATAATGGAAATAAATCTAATGATCATGGAGGTTTTTGAGGTGGCCATGATAGCACCATTTAACAGTGAAAGCAATCAACTCATAGTAAATGATAAAAGTGGTAAAACCAACTCAAGTTGATATATGCACAGAAATCTCCTGTGATAGATGCGAAAACACAAACTCAATATCAAAGATTGATGTTTCAGATATTGCTGTCAATGATGGATCATCCTTTGTTGACAACTAAAGAAATTCAAAACAGACAACAAACTTCATAGGCAAAACCACATTATCAATCATCGTATAAGATTCAGGTTTAGACTCTAGTTATGGTTTTAGTCACAGGATCAATTTTAATTTGATCCTTATGATCTTCATCATCCATGGCCTATGTAAATTTTTATATTAGAATCTTACATAATTGAGCATTGCTTGTGGTGTGCCATGCATTCGAAAATTGACATTAGGCATCTACCAATTCTTGCACAAGTTGTTGACAAAAGTGTTGAAAATGCTTTAAGTTAATCATAATAATGTTCAAGATTGGCAAAAAGGGAGTCCAACTAATAGTTTGGTATATTAATTAATTATCCATGTCATAGGAATGATAAACGAGTCTTATGTGAATATAAATGTTGATGATATCTAGCGCATGAACTCCAAGAAGATGAGTTTTTAGGCACATGATACTATTGCTTAACATGATCCTATTGTTAATACGATGATGAAGGCACCTTTTAATTGTTTTGCATCCTTCTAAAAGACATAAAAAAAAAAAATAGAATATTTGATAACATAATGTGATTCAAAAAGAGCCATAGAATGAAGGTCAATGTGGACCAGTGTCACCTCAGATCATGTGGTAGATCATATGAATCATGCCAAGGCCTGAGAATTTGTGGCTTATTAATGTGAGAATCATATCAACCGAAGTGTGAATTTTGTACTGCGATCAACAACAATAACAAAGCCTTAATCCCACTACATGGGGTCAGCTACACGAATCCTTTTTTTCCATTGCATCCTATTTAGTGTCATATTTTCATTTAGTTCTAATAAATTAAGATCATTTTTTTGTACAATAAGCCGAAGTCTTCTAAGGTGTAACTCTCCTTTCTTAACATAAGTCGAATCTAAAACATCTACTCTCATAATCGGATCACTAGATGGTCGGCGCTTAATGTGACCAAACCATCTAAGACGATTTTCTCTAATTTTGTCTGTCAAAGGAGCTACACCAACCCTATCACGGATATATGCATTTCGCATTGTCTCTAAGTGTAAAGCCTCTCATCCACCTAATAATTCTCATCTTAGCAACACTTAACTTAGTATTATGCTTCTCTTTAAAAGGCCAATATTCAGCGCCATAGAGCATTGCAGGTCTCAACACCGTCTTATAAAATTTTTCTTTCAGTTCTTTCAGTCTAAGCGTCAGTCTAAGCGGTACTTTTCTATCACACAAAAGGCCCGAAGCATTCCTCCACTTCAACCAACCAACTAGACTTCTACTATTAACATTCCCATCTATATCACCAACACTTTGAACAACAAACCCGAGATATCTAAATCGTTCACACCTTTTAATAATTTGATCACTCAAATTTACACTTATGTCACTAGAGCAACTACTACTAAAATTACATTCCATATATTCAGTTTTAGTTCTACTCAAATGAAGGCCTTTAGACTCCCATGTACACCTCCATATTTCAAGTTTTTCCTGGGCTTTTTCTCTCGATTATCATCAACAAAAAGCATACACCAAGGTACATCCTCCTGTACGTGTCCAGTAAGACCATCCATAACTAAAGCAAAAAGATATGGGCTTAAAGAAGATCCCTGATGTAATCCAATAGAAATAGGAAAGTGTTTGGCCAATCCTCCTTCAGTTTGAACACAAGTAACAGCTCTAGTATACATATCTTTAATGACTTGAATATAAGTCATATCAACACATTTCTTCTCAAGAACTCTCCAAAGGATTTCTCTTGGAACCTTATCGTAAGCTTTTTCTAAATCAATAAAAATCAAACGTAGATTCTCCTTATCATCTCTAAACTTTTCCATCAAACTTCTCAATAAATGTATAGCTTTCATAGTAGACCTGCCCGGCATAAGTCCAAATTGATTATGAGAAATCTTTGTAAGTCTCTTTCTAGTACGTCTTAACATATGTTCAATTACCTTCTCTCATAATTTTGATGTATGGCACATCAACTTAATTCCTCTATAACTTGCACACTCTTGTGCATCCCCTTTATTCTTAAAATTGAGGACTAAAATACTCTTCTTCTACTCCTCAGACATCTTTTTAGTTTTTAAAACAATATTAAAGAGTTTAGTAAGCCAAGAAACTCCCAAATCTCCTAAAAATTTTCATCCATCAATTGGGTTATCATCAGGTCCTACAGACTTTCCACACATTATTTTCTTTAAAGTCTCCTCAACTTTTTTTTACTAATGCGACAGTAAAACTGAAACGTCTTATTATTATTCACCATATTAAAATCACTAAGGTCGATCGCATTTTCAGAAACTTCATTAAAAAGCTTATCAAAATAACTCACCCACCTATGTTGAATATTTTTTTCTAAGAAAAACACTTTGATTTTCATCTTTAATACACTTTACTTGAGTTAAATCTTTACTTTATTTTTCTCTTTATTTAGCTAGTTTATACATATATTTTTCACTCTCAGTATCTAATCTATTATAAAGATCATTAAAGACATAATTTTTAGAATCACATATTGTTCTTTTAGAGTCACTGCGAGCCGTTTGATATTTTTCTCAGTTCTGTAAGCTTTTACATTTAAACCAATTTTTATAACATAACTTTTTATATTTTATCTTTTCTTGTAAATTATTATTTTACCACCAACTATTTTTATTTAAAGAAGTTTTTTCTTTTGATTCTCCAAGTACATCTTTTGCAACTTGTTTAATAGTGTTTGTTACTTTATCCCACATTACATTTGCTTCATCATGAACATCCCAAATTTTAAAATCTTAAATTTTACTCATAAAAATAATTTTATTTATGTCTTTTAAGTTCCCTCATCTAATTCTAACAACTTTTCATCTTCAAATCTACAACTAATAAAAGATGTTGGGTACTTAAATCCTCGCTTGGAATGACCTTACAATCTCTACAATCTCGACGATCTCTTCTTCTCATAAGAAAATAATCAATTTATGTTTTATTAGATCCATTTTTATAAACAATAAGATACTCATCTCTTTTCTTGAATAAAGTATTAGTAATAACAAAATTATGTACTAAAGCAAAATCTAAAATAGCTCCACCTTCTTCATTAGTCACTCCAAAACCGTAGCTACCATGAATATTTTTAAAATCTTCTATCACTCTACCGACATGTCCATTTAAATCTCCTCCGATAAAATTTTTTTCTTCAAGAGGTATCAATTTTATTAAGTCTTGTAAGTCATTCCAGAATTTATCTTTAGACCCTATATCTGAACCTGCTTGAGGAGCATAAGCACTTATAATATTAAAAATCTTAGTATCAATTATAATCTTAAGGACTATAATTTTATCTCCAACTCTATTAATTTTTACAAAATTATCTTTCAAATTCTTATCTATAATTACACCTACACCATTTCTAGTACGACTCTTACCAGAATACCAAACTTTATGACCTAAGTTATCAATTTCCTTAGTCTTTTCTCCAACCCATTTAGTTTCTTGAATACATAAGATATTAATCTTTCTATTAATCATAATATCAACTAATTCCATTAATTTACCATTGAGAATACCTATACTCCAAGATCTTATCCTAAGATTAATTTCATTAATTTTATGAACTAACTTCTTTACCGGCATTCGTCCGTAATGTGGGAACCCTTGCTTATTTGACACTACACCCGGACACTGGTGTAGCGACCCTTGCATATTTTTCACTGTATTAGGCTATACAACGGCGCGTCGCTTCCAG